CAAAGAGCATCTTCCAAGGCTCCAGGATTACACCTGACACACAGAGAACCCTCAACACTCCATACAGGATGCACATGATAATATCATCAACAATGAATCAAAACAAAAGACAGGTAGTTATTACATAAGAAGCTCAGCAGTTGTTTCAAGATGAAACTTAGATTTTTCATCTTTCAGGACAGAGGAATCAACTTCTTTCCCCTTGGAAAATTCGATATTGCCAATATGAAGGATAGCAGCAACAACCCTGAAAATAGCATCCTGGATAGAAATTAAATTGTAGACAAGTGAGAAAAAAACATTCAGTTAAAGTAGCCATCAATCATGTCAATGAACAGATGGACATAATTGAGTTTTTACCTGTTCCTGAGTACTAACACCAACAATATCCATTGCTCTTCTGGTAGCTAAATATTCATGGGCATCACTTACCCCAACCAACTCATAGCAATTTGATTGATTGAGATAGTGGAAAGTCTTAGGATTTCCTAATTTGTACTTTTCGACGTCCTGAAAGTTTGGTGCCACAGGATTTAGTTGTATTACTAACCAAATATCCTCTAAAAAGTAGGCAAACTTTAAAATTTGTGTAAAGAATGCCAGCCACAACTCCACAAGTGCAGAACTCATAACAAATACATAAGGACAATGTAAACCAATAATACCTCCTGTGGTGCTGCACAAAGGAGATAAAAGCAGTGGTAGTTGCGCTCTGGGTCGGATATTTGGCATACACGTGATCTTTCTAGAAGGTAAGTTCTGATAGCAGCACCAGAGATCCTCCCATGCTTATCAAACTGAATCTCAACAAACTTACCAAACCGACTGCACCAACCATTATGAAAGGAAAAAAAAAATGAGACCTACACATATGCAGCTCCATGTTTTGGAGAAAGAAAAAGGCAGCTGGCTATACTTAGGATACTGAGTTTCTTTTACCTAGAATTGTTATTTCTCACAGTTTTTGCATTGCCAAAAGCTTCAAGAACTGGATTTGACTGCAGGCACAAGAATAAACAATACATTTTTAACCGAGGTATAAGTAATATAACAGTACAACCACCTTGCAAATCCGAACACTGGCTGTCTTACCTCGAGAACTTGTTGCTCTACTGTTCTTCCTTCAGTTGCAGCTCGGCCACCCAAATAGGCAAGATATCTCATAAGCATTTTTGTTGTTTCTGTTTTTCCAGCACCACTCTCACCACTCACAAGAATGGCATTGCTCTTATTTTCATTAATCATAGCTCTGTTCAAGTAAAAAATAACAGTGAGAACAGCTTGTAGGATGTGGAAATACTGAGCTGATTCTAACTATCAACCTTTTGTAGTGCATTAAAGAAGATAGAAATGCACAGAATTTTTTTCAAAGAAACATAGGAATCTAGAAAAACGAGAAAACACTTAACAAGGTTGCAACGTCCTCTAGCTATCATACTTACCTGTACGCAACATCTGCCACAGCAAAAACATGTGGACTTAACTCTCCAAATGGAGCACCCTTATACTGTTGCATCATATGCGGATCATATAAATGGGGCAGCCTTTGGAAAGGATTTACAGCAATGAGAATATTGCCAGTGTATGTCTGAGTAAATGATAAAATGTCAGCCATAATAAAGAACATAGGGTGTCTCTCAAAGCATCAAAAGTGAAGTGATCACACAACAATCTGTAAAAAAAACAACTAACGTACATAGATTTCGTTAAGCTCGTATCTGATCGCCAAATTCTGCAGCACTCCTGGTTCATGGAGATAGGAGAGCTTTGTCATGTCATCAACTCCACCAGCAGCTGCTTCCATATCTTTGGGATATAGTTTTGACAAATTCGCAACAATCTAAAAATGTGGCAGCATGAAGGTAAGCAGGATTACATAAAATTTAAAGCCCAGAAGCAATTTACAAGACCAAATTTAAAAATGTAGAGCTGACAACATCCGAATGTATGCATGTTACCTTTTTCCCATTGGTTGCCTGGATCTCAGCCTCTTCGCCATTGATCTTAACCACCTCTCCATCGACCCAGCAAGTATTGGGATCTTCAGCCCACACATGAGACCCCACGATTATATTAACTTTGGTCCCCTGCATTAGAAATTTGGGAGTCTCAGGTATCGTCTTGAAGAGTTTATGAAACCTATTTAACAAAGCATTTGCATTCCCGCCCAAATCCGTTGCAAAGTCAAACACGCATCAGGTTCACACCAGCACCGCAGCCCACTACAATCCTACCAAGCAGTAAGCCCCAGCCAGCACGACTCGAACCGGTGAACACCGCCAATCCGCCATCGCGGCTGCGGGCCTGCACTGCATTATGCAAAGAGAGAGGCAAGAACTCACCATTTCGCCGGTGGCGCGGCACTCGGCGGAGGATGATCAGTCGAACAACGACGCTTTGAGAAAGGGGGCGGACGAGCTCATATCTCTCTCTGACTTTCCCCCACCGTCGTCGTCGTCGTGTCGGGGGAGGGAGCTGTCGCGGCGCAAAAGCGGGGGAGTGGAGAGAGAGAGAGATGGGGATGTGAAGCAAGTGTGTAGAGGGAGAGGAGGGGCTGAGGGTGAGGTGGAGTACGTGGAGCGGCCATGGCCGGCCCCAGCCTCGATCTCTGCGGGGCGCCATGCACCTCGCCTCGGACAAACACAAACCACATACACCTTATTCGCGCGCTGATTGCATGCAAGTCGGGCAGCGTGCTCGGCCTCGGCGCCCAGCATGATTATGGAGCGGGAGCATGCATGTAAATGCATCACTGCTATATATAGCTATTTGATTTCCATCTTGTTTTTGCATCTACCCAGATTTTGTTCGCTGCAACGTTTAATGCCTAGAGTTGTGTAGCTTCACCTTCAGTAGTGGTTCTGGTGATTTCTGAATGTCCTCGAATATACTTTAGGAAAATAATTTGCTCATAACTATTCACAATCAAATTTTGAGAATATGCAGTTTTTTTAGCAGAAACTTATCTGTGCTATCGAATTTTTGGTTCACTCGCTAACTTGTTTTATTTTTGGTAAATATTGTTGAAATGGATCTTAGCATAAACATGATCTTACATCGTCTAAACATGATCACTAAGTCTAGTCTCAGCAGAAGAGTTTTATATACATTTAATAGATTACTAAATAAGGTTTTTTTATAACATGGCAATTTTTTTAAGAAGAGAGAAGAAGCAAGTTTCATGTAGACGAAACTCTCTTGGCTCGATTTACAACTCTAGATTGTTACTAACCTGTGATATCTAAGCGTGTAACAAGTCCCATAGGGATGACCACCATATATATAGAAATCCTCATGGGCCATATAGGTCTAGAATATATAAGGCTATGGGCCTTGACATACTTGACATAGATGAGTATGAAATTAAATACTACTTATATGGAATGAAAGAATGAAACTATGCATTCAGGATGGTTGTTCATCCATATTTCATTGCATTCTACATTCTTCAAAACAAGGCTATGAAACTCTCCACTAAAATTGCATTCTCCAAGAGCTTCATGAATGGTTTTAGAAAGATTAGATTAGAGAGGAGTGATTACCTCAGCTCTTAGGTTAGTTTCCCATTTGCAGTGGGAGCTAGGATGTTTGGGAGGAGGCTAACCTGGTGTGTAGATCAATTCAGGGTTAATTCATCGAAGTTTTTGCTGAAATTCGAGTTCATCCTTTCCCTCCTCCATTTTTTTCTTTTACGGTGACTTCCATGGTAATTTTTGAGAGATTTTCTTGCTGCTGTGTTTTTTAGCTGATCACTTCGCTGGATTTTGGTGTGTTTTGGGTCCCTTGTAACTTGACCACAACATATTCTATCTCACATGTTCCAAACTCCAAAACACCTTTCTTGCTCATTTTGGTGAAATTTGTGAAGTTTCTTGAGCTGAGCTTTTGGTCGTGATGGGGAGGAACACAGCTTAATGCACTCGCTAGTGTCTCTCATTAAGCTGTGGAGCCGTGTGTAAAATGTATTAACATTGGCGCATCTCAAGTAGATGTCATTAATGTTCGCAATTTTCACTGGCCTTTTACACTGGCCGACTGGCAGTAGCATGAAAATGCTTCTGGAACCGCCCATGCTGAACTTCGTTGTACTAGTGATCAGACGTCTAATTTTCTTAAACGCCATGTATCTCTCATCAAAGGCGGGGTCTCACAGAAGACGGTTTGGACGTGGTGTCCACTGAATTTTCTTCCGAATCACGTACTATATTCCTACCTTCCTTTTCTTGAAAGGAAAAGGATAATATAAAGAGAAAAATAAAGGATATCCGTTGTCTTCACGGTATGCATGACAGTGCAATCTGCAATGAGGTTATTAGTTATCACGAGTTCATGAACACGCCTGTGCGTGTACTACTTTATTATAAGGAAGAAAGCAAGTGCGACCCTCCGCACGTCCAAGCGAGGAGCTCAGACAGAGGGCGCCAAGATTACATGAAAATGACGACCAAGCGAGCTCCTAATAAACGGCCCCATTCGCTTCGCTGAAAAAACAAGCTAAAATACTGTTCCGGCTGATTTGTTGTGAGAGAAAAACACTGTTCTGATTGAAAAAAAAACAAGCTAAAAAGTACGGATTATAAAAAAAACGAACAGGGCTAACAACTCGCTATGCAGCCCTAACTGTGAAAAACGACCGTAACCTATGGAAGCCCGCATTGATTCAGGTGCAAGCCTCCTCGTTGATCCTAACCGCCAAGATGGCAGGTGAGTTTGCTGAGTTGTCATGCACACGACGATTGCATTCCTTCCAAATCATCCATAGCACCGAGAGGAACAAAGTATCAAAACTCCTGTTTTGCTGACTCTCTTTATGTTCTTTAGCCACCAATTCACAATAGAGCTCCAATGGTCTCCAGAAGCAATGCCTGCATCCCCAATGGTTGAAGAACCTAAAACTAAGAGCCGCTCAGCTGTAGAAGCAACCTATGAGGTGGTGATCAAAGTTCATGGCCTAACTTGAACAATTTTTCTGTTGGATCAGTCCTAGCTGTTATGTACCGTTATGAGTTGGAGCTGGATGTTCCGCAGAAACCGGTGCCAACAATAAGAAATGTTATTGCCTGTAAATATATGTAAACGAAATAGAAGTCGTCTCCTAAAACCAAGTTGTATGTGGCACAGAAGAAGAGGAAGATGGCAACTAAAATCTCTGATATGGTGCATCTGCAAGGAGCATGGAAACAGGTGGACAAATTAGAGTCAGCTCGAACTAAAACTAGTTGATGAAATTTCTCAGGAACAATAAATAAAACGCCCAGCAGGCTACCTGTCCCAAAACCTGCAGCGAGGCTTTTCGAGTATTTGTGGCTCGGACTTGGTGCCGCTTTGAATTACCAAACTTCTCTGACAACCCACTCGTTTACACTCCCAAGCTCGAGCAAACCGATGAATGTCGCCTTTGTTCGGTGAAAAGACATCACATTCTCAAAAAGGATCCAGAATGGTATGAAATGGATAGAACTGAAAGCAAAACAGTTGTTAGAAACATTTTTGACAGCCTATTTAATGCCAGAGTTTTTGAAGATACAAACCTTGGACTTCTGATGGCATAAAGGAGCGTTATCATTGTTGGGATATAAACCACCCCCCATACAGGAACAGTGACCTCAGGAATTAGGACAGACAAAGGAATTACTACACAGTAGAGCATGAAAGGTACCACATGGGCAACAACCTTCCTAATGAAAAAGAAGCTGTAGATCAGATAGAGCTTCCTCCAAAGCGACACCTCCTGCTCCAAGATTTCAAGGACATCAGATAGATATTGCAAAAGAAACAAACAACAACGCTGAAATGGTATGGTCAAATCATGAGAGGCTCTACAATTGATACTCATGTTTTTCCTCTTTTTTTCTGGAGGAATTGATACTGATTCTTACTAGAGAAGAAACCACTTTATCTCTAAACACATACTATGGCTAGATTGTAGCGAAAATTACCTTAGTCAGAATAATTTCCGCCCCGCCTTCCGAATAAATTTGCTGCCCCACATGTCCACCGATGTTGTTGACGGCGATATGCCTTCAGATTGCTTGGCAGTTCACTTTTTACCTATGATTCCAACAATATTAAGTTCACATCACATTATAAATATGACTACTGGCTGTAGGACTACATATCATAAGGGAAAAAATGTTGAGATAGCTTTGACATCTCTTCAGTACAATATATGTACAGTAATCATATTCACCATTTTATCATGCTATATCCTGACTATATCCCCCCCTCTATTGTATATTGTAAGGTTAATTTTAAAGTAGAATTGCAGAAAAAATAGTGTAACTAAACTAGAAAACTGAATCCTATGAGTACATTATACTAGTACTATTTGTTACCTTAACATCCCCAACGTAGATGAATTTCCATCCTTTCAGACCTGCTCTGACTGCTAAATCCATGTCTTCCACAGTGGTTCGATCCTCCCAGCCCCCGGCTTCCTTGATAGAAGAAATTCTCCAGACACCAGCAGTTCCTGAACTTAAATAGGTTAGTCCCACAAAATGACTAATATTGAATTCTGAAACAGAGAATTTTCTGTTATACCGTTAAAACCAAAGAAGCCAAAGATGGATGAACCTGCTTCCTGCTCTACTTTGAAGTGATAATCTAATGTCATCTTTTGTATCCTTGTCATCAGGACTTCATTGGGATTAACTGCAAAACCGTCCCGAAATGCCAGTCAGCAAGTTCCTGTCAATTGTAACAAGAGATGAATCAGACAGATAAGGCTACTCTGCACATAAAAGAGACAAAACTTCTGTTTTAATCAGCATGTTCTTTTCCCGTGCTGTAACTGTAACCATAGGTGTAATAGTGGTGATAAGCTACCTGTCAATTATATATGTACTTACGCTGACTGCTAAAACTAGGCAAAATAAATACAACAGCATGGTCGACCAAGGACATACTAAGCGGCAATTATTAGTTGTTTTGGACTTTTGGTGCAATATACTACATGATAAGAATTATTGCTAATTCAAGTAAACAAAATCTAACAGCTTGAAAAAGGATTCTTTCGGCTAACTGTTATATCCAAAAGGTAGAAAAAGGCATGTTCAGTAGCCACTGCATTGCTAAAGATTATAATTTCATTTTGTGGTTCTGTTTTCAAATATTTTGGTAGCTGATTAGCTATTTGTCTCAAACCAGTTTACAAAGGACACGACTGTTGGAGGCAAGATTTAATAAACTACAAATCTACAATTTATTTTGCCAACCTTACGAGAAATTCTTCGAAAACTGCATTCTTATATCAGATCAGATCTTAAAATAAGTGTAGCAGCATGACAGCCACAAGCATGCCCTAATCAAAGGAACTCATGACCAGGGAGTTGAGCGTTTTCATGCTTACCAAATTCCCATCGCGCTTGAACAAGACCAATTTGTGGATTATGAACAAGATATGGGACGGTCCTCATGAGGAAGTCAGGTTCTGGTTGGAAATCAGCATCAAACACAGCGACAAAATCACACTGTTGAACGTACTCGTAGAGCATCCCTTGTTTCAGCGCACCCGCCTTGTAACCTTTCCGATTGTTCCTCACCTCATATTTTACGTTCTTGCCTTTGTTAGCCCAAAACTTGCATTCAAGCTCCACCAGATCCTATTGAGAGCATAAAATATGTGATGTATCTTTGAGGAGGGTAACGGCAAAATTCAGTGACGTTAGCTCAACCTAATGTACGCAGTACTTGCTTTATTCCAACAGGTAACTAATTCAAGTACCATGAATGTCTCTATGTTGCACTGAATAGGTGTAGAAATCTGTGAAGTGAAATGTTTGCATGTCCATTTGTAACCAATGTAGCTGTATGCACCTTTTGTAGCTATATGCAGTTATGCACCCCGCCTTGTAATGTACTCCCTCCATTCCAAATCGTAAGTAGTTCCGGCTTTTCTAGATAAATAGTTTTTACTATGTATCTAGGCATAATATATATCTAGATGTGTAACAAAAGCTATGTATCTAAAAAAAGCTAGAATAACTTATAATTTGGAATGAAGGGAGTATGTAGTACTCTGTCCATTTTTTACAAGGTGTACTTCATTTTGTTAGAATAAGGCTTTGACCGGTAATTGCACCATTAATATTTTACTTATGTCATACAAAGTTATAATCATAAGCAAGCATTTTTTTTTCAATATGAATCTAACAACGTCAATTTTGAGCTACAACAAATATGTATTAATAGAGTAATTGTTGGTGAAAAAAATCCTAATGAAACTAAATAATAGGCTTTATAATTTCAAAAAATATGTATATGTTACCATGTACCATATATGTATATTATGCGGTTGGCTCGTTAACATGCCCTATCATCTTACCTACAATATTTCTATTCTATTCACTCTATTGTAATATATTTTAGGTTTGTCCTAAGTCAAACTTTACAAAATACACAAACAACTACAACATTAAACAAGATCCATTGGATACAATATGAAATATATTTTTATAATGTATTTATTTGATATTATAGATGTTAATATATTTCTACAAATTTAACAAAACTAGATAAGTCTGACTAAAATGAAAACTAAAACGACTTACAGTTTGAAGTGGAGTATTGACTATGCTAACCAACGGGGACATCAAATTTTTTTCACAAATTACCAACAACTCCGCCGATGAGCTAGCTAGAGTGAAGTGAATTGAGGTCCTCTTTGACACAGCTTATGCAGCTTTGGCTTAATGCTACAGCAGATATGAGAAGCCAAAGCTGGTGAAGCCCGAAAAGTGGCTTCATCGACATCTAGTTATTCTAGAAGAGATTGAAAACTAGCTTCATTAATAGTGTCTGGTCAGTGCATAAACAATGAAATGTCAGGTAAAGCTGAAGTTACAAAGAGCTAAGCCAAAGAGGACCTTACTCACAAAGAGTTATCATGCTGTCACTATAGGTCTACTAAATTGTCATTCTTCAGTCTATGCGTTGAGACTTACTCAGCTCGATAAAAGAGTGTAATGTTAGATTTGAATGAGTTAAATTTTTTAAGTTTTACTAAATTTATAGAAATAGTATATACATTAATGTGAAGGACGGGCCTGGTGCAAGCGGTAGAGTCTTACCGCCTGTGACCGGATGGTCCCGGGTTCGAGTCGCGGTCTCCTCGCATTGCACAGGCGAGGGTAAGCCTTGCCACTAACACCCTTCCCCAGACCCCGCACAGAGCGGGAGCTCTCTGCACTGGGTACGCCCTTTAGTATATACATTAATGTTTTTAAATAGATTTATTACGAAATAGAGTATATTTTATGATTAATATAATAATATTTGTTTCGTAAAAAAAATATAATAATATTTATTTGGTATATAAATGCTAGTATTTTTAAAAAGTGATTAAACTTAAAATTATCTCACTCATGGGATTCAAAAATTGCAAGAAGATTCAAAGCTTTACCTTAACCGTCGGATCAGTGGAATCGTCGAGAACCTGTACGATGACCCTATCCGACGGCCACGACATCCCGCATGCTGCTCCAATGGAAAGCTTGTACACCTGCGCGCCCAAAAAAAAAGGAAAAGAAATGGTACGTATTTTACACGTATATAATAAATAATATATAATCGTATAAAACCACCGTTCGCAACATTGCATTGCGTTGGTGTGCCCGAAGTACAGCGAGAGAACACGGACCTCCCGCTCGTTGTACATGGGGATTTGGACGAGCACCATGGGGTAGCCGACGCTGCGGCCAGCCTCCTCGTCCCCGTCCTCCTCCTCGGCAGTGGGTCCGGCAATAATGGGGCCCGGCGCCCGGTACGGCCTCCGCCGCGCCAGAAGGCTGGCGGCGGCCAGGAACACGGCGTCTGCGAGGAGCATGGCCGACAGGGCCAGGCAGACCCACGACGCGGCGGCCAGCGCCGGCGCCACGGCCGCCGCGCGCGCCGCGTCCCACGCGGCCCGCAGCGCCTCACCGCCCGACCCCGACGCCGGCCAGCCAAGCAGCGGGAACGGGAACAGCTCGGCACCGCCGCGGCCGCCGCCCGACGACGACGGCCACAGCCGGCGCGGGAGCAGGGCCGTCGACACCGCGGCACCGGCCATTGTTCACGCCCTCCCGCACGCGCGTCCGCCTGCCCTCTGCCCTCTGCCCTCTGCCCTCTCCCCTGTGGCTGCGGCCTGCGGGGGTTGCAGCTTTTGGGGACGTTGCTTTTCGCGGGTCGCGTCGGTGCGGGAGGCCCGCTTTTGCCCTCTGGTTCATGACACAGTGATGACTGATGAGGCGAGTGGAGGTGGAGTACCATTGTATTTGTACCACCGAGTCACGAGATGACCGACCACTCTGATTCGCTGGCTTCACCTCAGCTTTGATTCCTGACATGTGGGCCAACGCACACCTGACCCCACAACTCAGTGTTAAGGGCTACTGGTAGTGGCTCTGTACGTTACTCCTGCGTACACAGCGAGCTTGTCTCTTGCGCTACGAGCATCACGTTCCCAATGGCCTACGGAGTACTCGGCATCACGTATCGGTACCGTCCGTGGGCCCAGCGCCTGTTTGCGGCCCCAATTGTCACTTCCAGAGTTCCACGAGACCACAAGACCACAACGCACGGGAGGCTTTGTACTCATTGGCCCATCAGGCATCAACAACAGCAACCCAAAGCCAAGGGAGGAGGAGATGCCAAGACAGGAGCGAACGTCGTAGAGATGGACGCGGAGGGATTCGTTTGTTGGTGGTGGTTGGCTTGGGTGCCGCCGGACGAAATGTCGCCGTCGTGGCCGCGCGCCCACACCGCGACCGGCCGGCCACGAATACTTGAATGGTATGGGTGGACGCCCCAGTTTTGGATGCTCCCTCCCTCGTCGTGTTTCTCGTGCCTCAGCAACAGGATAGGCGGCGCGAATCTAGTAAATCAACCACCCCACACCTCCCCCTGTGGGTCGCGCACGGATGCAGGATGCACAGTTCAAGCGGACGGGTCCGTTCCGTCCCCATGCACCTGCACGAGGCGATGACGTACATGCTGATGGGACTCGCGGTACGTGAGCACTGCTTTTCGCGGAAATGGTACTTGTTTTTCAAAACGATACAGGCAAAAGAACCGCGGCCTGCCCGGATAAAGTTTAGCCCTTATCGAATGTTCGGCGAGACTGATTAGAAGGATAAACGTGAGCTAATTATAAAACTAATTGCAGAAGTCCTGAGCTAATTCGAGAGACGAATCTATTAAGCTTCCATTATTAGCAAATGTTTACTGTAACACCATATTGTCAAATCATGAACTAATTAGGCTTAATAGATTCGTCTCGTGAATTAGCCTCTATTTGTGTAATTAATTTTATAATTAACCTATGTTTAATTATCCTAATTGGTATCTAAACATTCTATGTGACAATGCTAAAGTTTAGCCTTGTGAAACCAAATACCCCTCAAGAGAAAAAAAATATATAGTTTCATTCGCTTCTAATTTATTTTGAGAGGAGAGAGAAAAATGGTTTACGGAGGAGCTACAACTCTACCAAACGAAACCTTATTCTCTTAATTCAGGCATCCATCTTCTACTTACTCCCTGTCTCACCACCATCAGGCTACCTTTTTGGTCATCATACGGTAAAACAAGGTGGCACCTGAGTGGCTTCCTTGCCCCTAAGGCGTTCTCTAACTGTTGCCTGCTTTTTTTTTGTCAGATGAAGGCACAACTACTTCTGCAGCTGATGTGACAACCTGTGAGACCACCATTGCTTGTGATATGTTTGCTCGATGAGGACGTGGAAGATGTGGTAGTATGCCACCGTGGTGTATTGGTGAAGCTCTCAGTACGTCTTTTTTTTTTCACGAGATCAACTGAGATGGGATGGGATAATCTCTTTTCAGCTGTTTGGTAGGGGGTTGTCCGACACTCCTAGGGTCAGTCTACTTGGACAAATCATCAATCCTGTCCAATTTTGGCCCATAATGAAGAAACGCACTTCCTATCATCGTGCATTGTTGGTTCTACGTCGTTTGAAGATCATCAATGGCTTGGAATGGATGTCACAAGGATCCATGGACCTACCACGTAATTGTCATCGAGCAAATGCACTGAAGTAACCCATACACATGCCCCTGAGCAGTGGACCTAGCACCACGCAAAATATGGAGGGCCCATGGGACAGTGGGAGTCGGCCGACTGCCCACCCTCTCCCCCTAGTCCGAAGTGTCACCGCCTCAGCTTCTGGGACATGCGAGAAAAACACATTTGTGATCATCGTGGGTAGGGATGAAACAGTATCAAATACAAATGGATATCATGATCCTGCATTCTATCCCATATTCTTCTCAGATCTTGGAACCGGATACAGATCATGTTGGATACATCGGATATTAATATCTATCCCATTTACATATCAGAAATCCAATTTTGAGTATTCAAATTCGGATATGGTATGGATATTACATGTTTAGATTAAAAAACGGACATCCATGTAGGGTTTTTTTTACGAGGACATCACTCCTTTGGATACACCCACAGCTCCTCCAACTGGTATGAAAGTGCAATGACTAGAGCTCGAATGCGACAATTAAATCAAGAGGTAAGCTCGTTCTTAAGAGATTATTTTCATGATTTTGAGAATAGATTGCTACCTAATGATGCTATCATGTTTAGAAACATTGGAGATGATCATGAAATACTTAGAGAGAGGCATGGAGGCGGAGAAGACTAGTAAGGATGTTTAAGTCAGGTTGTAGACACAATCCAACTCGAGTTCAAGTCTGTCTTGGCCTCCCAGAGCAGCCCGCGGAAAAACAGACGCCCAGGATGCATATGGACTCCATTTTAGATGTTCTATCTATGGATGGAAAGATCATTTCACAAGCTAACCAATGGCATGTGTACAAATTATCACCACTCATCATAACTCTTGCAAATTTATGGTTATAAGATTCAATTCGATCAAAAAAGGAAAAAGTGAAAAAAGAGAGTGAAAGGGTGAAAAAGGAAAAAACATGTGCACGGCATCCTACGGTACGTTTACAACTAGTATATAAATACATATATGTAGGATCTCTGGTTGACCTAGAGGAGGATGAATAGGCCTGTCAAAATAAACACTCAAAATTTTATCAAATTCACCTTGCGGCACTGCCGCTCTGGAAGGCGGCACTGCCGGACTACGGCACTGCCGGGCTAGAACAACTGCACTGCCGCACCTGCAGACAACTTCAAGTCATAGTTCAAAATCCATGAACGAAAACTTAGATTAGAGAAATTTCCTAGCTTACTGCAGGTATGACAAACACAGATCAAGTGCTAGAAGTAGTAGGAACACCACACACAAGTAGATCGACTAGAAACCCTAGAAATCACCTCAACCACAATATGTCATGCAAGTAATGTAAATCAAGTACAAGTGACATAATAATTTATTCCGTGGTTCGGCTCGCCACCAAGACTTGCCTACCTCCACGTTGTTGAAGTTAGCCACTAAGGCTTAGGGCTTTCCAACCCTTCCTCGTTCTCAAGTGAAGAGACTTAACTCTTGAGATGAGGGGTGACTTTACTAGCTTTAAGAGATGGTTACAAACCTCCCAAGGCTGCCACACAAGTTGGCAAGCTCCACGGGCGATGCTCTAGTCGGCTAGGAGCCAAGCTCCAAGAGTAACAAACACAACCGCCGTCCAAAACATGAACCAAGTACTCTTTAGAGTTGGGGAATCAATGGAGCTGCTCTCTAATCGAGTTTTGGACCCTTTTCTCTCAAGGATTGATGGGGAAAACAATGGATTTGCTTGGGAGCTTGAGGTCAACAATGGAGGGAGAAAGAGAGAGAGCTCCTTTTCTATCTTGGACTAGCTGGAATGAGCAGGAGCCAGAAGAGAGACGTTGGGGAGGAAGAGGATGGGTATACATACCCCCTCAGCCCCAACGGTCACTTAAATCGCGACAGCGCCGTGGCTTAAGTGCGGCAGTGCCGCACTGCGGTAGTGCCTCTCTTCAAGTGCAGCAGTGCCGCACCACTCAAGATAGCAAGGGTAAGAATAAAGTGTAGACTGTCTTAGCCGTGAATCTAAGGATGCATGTGTATGTTTGAGCACTTGGTAGCACATATTATCTTAAGCATTATGTCCCCTTTATAGTACGGCTCTTCCTATACTCAAATTCAAAATATAAAAGAATTTAAACCTCCTTTAAGTTTGAAGCCATCTACATTTGTAATTGGGGGCTCCTACATTTCATGTAGCATCCTCGACATGAATTCTCTGCTTGTCATCTCGATAAATCTTATTAGTTCTCTAGTTGCGTGGTCATTATCACCAAAACTCACAATTAGGGCTTGATTGCACTTTCAATCTCCCTCTTTTTGGTGATTGATGACAACCCAATTAGAGCTTATAAAAGATATGAAATAAATATAGAGATTTTTGAGCTATGGGTGTAGAGCCTCTCCCTAAATATGTGAATGAGGATTTGAATTCCCATTTTGGCATTTAGAGGCCAAAATTCACATTTTTAGTTAAGGTGCTGGGGCTCCCCCTACTTCCATGCCTCCTATGGGGTGCTGCACACTATGTCTGTAGGATCTCTGGTACGCCTAGAGGGGGAGTGAATAGGCCTATAACAATTCAACTCAAACCGAAGTCAAATTCACCAGCGGCACTGTCGCTCTTTAAGCGCGGCACTGCCGCACATACAGGAGAGATTAGTTCACAATTTAAAATCTACCCAATGAAATTTAGATCGGGTAAATTTCTTAGTTTCCTACAGGGTGGTAGATCATAGATCGACAGCTGAAAGTGGTGGGAACACCACACACAAGTAGATCGGCATCAATCCTAGAAATTACCTCAACAACAATAAGAACACAAGTGTAGCAACACAAGCACATGATGACACAAGGATTTACCCCGTGATTCAGCTCGCCACCAAAGCTTTCCTAAGTCCACATTGTTGAGGTATACCACAAAGGCTTAGGGATTTGCAACCCTACCTCGTTCTCCATGGTTCAGCTCGCCACCAAGGCTTGCCTAAGTCCACGTTGTTGAGATATACCACTAAGGCTTAGGGATTTGCAACCCTACCTCGTTCTCAAGTCAAGAGAGTGAACTCTTGAGATGAGGG